TTAAGCCTTGACTTTATACTATATAATTATATGGAGTATTTCAGAATGAATAAACAATAAAATACTTAATTGTGTTGTCTGTGATATAATAAGAAAACAATATTTAAAGCCATTAATCTCTTTTAAAATGTATATTAAAAATTAAACAGTATTAATAAACCACGAGTATTCAAAACTGAACTCTCTGTTTACTGTATGACAGACTTCAATCCATGACACTGAATGACACTGCAGAAAAATCTTTTTTAAAAAACTAAAAAGCTTTAGATAATAAAAGTTTTCTTTACATTATGATAAAATTGCATTTTGTCCTCTAAAAGTAGGAGGACAAACCGAAATTTCAATCCTAGTCTCTTCTTCAACCTGTGTCAATTCAATGCTGAGTATAGGTCCCTTTATATGAACTCTATTCGTTTCGGTCTAATCCTAGTATTACTATTCAATTCGGAGGCCTTCGTTCACGAATGCTCACGATTGAACAGTGGTAGTATATTAATATCTTCTTCTTAGTCGAATACTTCATTACTGAAGGTAGTGTCCTTGGAAGCCCTTCGTGGCTCTTTGTACCCTCAGCTTCCATTTGCTTCGGTTTTCGGCAATATATTAGTATTTTATTTTATTTTATTTGTAGCCCATTTGTCGGTAATTTATAATGCATGAGGAAGAGGTACCCCTAAGAAGAAATTGATGGATTGCGTGAAAGACGATATGTGTAAGAGGGAAGTGAGCGAAGAAATGGCATATGATAGAGGAGTATGGGAGGAGAAAACATGTTGCGCTGACCCCAGGTGACTGGGAGAAGGGCAGGAGAATGATGAAATTATTTTTTTATTGCTTAGATGGGTGGATGAGCTCATAGCCCACCTGGTGTTAAGTGCTTACTGGAGCCCATAGACATCTACAACGTAAATGCGCCACCCACCTTGAGATAGGTCTCAAGTATAGTTACAACGGCTGCCCCACCCTTCAAACCGAAACGCATTACTGCTTCACGGCCAAAATAGGCAGGGCGGTGGTACCCACCCGCGCGGACTCACAAGAGGTCCTACCACCAGTAATTACGCAAATTATAATTTTGCGGGTTTTGATTTTTATTACACGATGTTATTCCTTCACCGTGGAAGTCAATCGTGAACATTTGTTGTGTACGTATTTCATTAGAAAAATTGGTACCCGCCTGAGATTCGAACACCGGTGCATCGCTCAACACGAATGCACTGGACGTCTTATCGCTTAGGCCACGACGACTTCTAAATCTAATGATAATGCATGATTATAATGGCAGCGTTATATTAAAAACAACTTACAATTCACACGCAATTGAATACTGATCCACTATAAATAGTGCACAAATACATCGATTTGGTACAAATAAACGTTCTTGTCCGTCATAGGTTCAATTTTTGTTTATAGTATCAACGATTTATTGTGATCTTTGAAGTGCATGGGATCATAGCGAAAACAACGACGTATGATAGAAGTACTAAAATTATCGACATTTTAAAATAAATTTGTAATTTATCTTATTAAAGTAATGACCTCGATACAGAAGCCATATTTATTGGATGGTTATTGTTTCCCGTTTCTTTGAAGTCGCTTTGACGCGATGACCCTGTTAATGCGAACAAATTAATTTTTATATCGATCCGAAATACGTTTTTCGATTTCAAAGGAAATATCTGGGCATCCTCTGAACAGTTTATTTTCTGGGAGATATTTTAAACTCGGATTAATTAGATTCGTATCGACTTTGGTCCAGTGGTATATAATACTCATTGAAGAAATCCCAAGTTGCAACTAGGGTATTAACTAAAATTTTATTAGCTCGCTGGTGGTTCTGCTTAGAAAGCAATCACCAGTATTTTTCATATCAGCATTCATTTAATTTTTATTAGGACTTATAGTGACCAATTCAAATTAGATAATAACTAAACTGCTTTACTTCCTGCTGCTTTTAACCTTTTTGTGGCAGCAAATGTGCTTTCCAAGTAGTGAGTTTTTTAATGCCTATGATGTATGGTAATCGTTGAGCAAATATCTAGTAGCTTTTTTCCTCCTATTCACATTAATACCTAACTACAGACTGAATTATACATGTGTCTTTTAAAAGTTGTTAGTGTATGTAGCGACCTTAATACACGTAGAGTGCCTTATCCAGGACCTAGTGTAGCCGTTGTGAAATGCTAAGAGTTCTTTTTGTGCTTCGCTGTCGTGGTCTTAACTGATCCCTGAGCCGAGGTTTATGGGTTCTGTTCCCACACCAGGCAAACATTTGCGTGATGAACAGATTTGATTGCTCTTTGTCTGGGTGTTTATTAATATATATCACTGGTGGTAGGACCTCTTGTGAGTCCGCACGGGTAGGTACCACCACCCCGCCTATTTCTGCCGTGAAGCAGTAATGCGTTTCGGTCTGAAGGGTGGGGTAGTCGTTGTAACTATACTGAGACCTTAGAACTTATATCTCAAGGTGGGTGACGCATTTACTTTGTAGATGTTTATGGGCTCCAGTAACCAGTTAACACCAGGTGGACTGTGAGCTCGTCCATCCATCTAAGCAATAAAAAATATATATTATTATATATCCATTCCATCTAGGAAATCCTAGTTTGTGGCAAACTCAACGTATGTGTCTTATCTTCTCGGTAACTATTAGTATTTATTCTGTATTATTTTTTCTAATTTTAATTAAAGCATAATTGTGTCACTAAATGTTCAACAAAGAGCTTCGTAACTTAAGCAGTAAAAAACGTTCAACCTAATATGAAGCTTCGCAGAGTGTTGAGCAATTTGCGTACACATCCTTAGGTTTATGTGTTGTATACGCCATAGATCAGCCGAGGCGTACAGAGCAGACGCGACATTTGCCGCCTATCAAGGTTGTAAGCTATTAGGGCGCATACAGAATGATGTGGTCCAATTTGGGAAATAATTTGATGTAAAAACGGTCTTCACGCTAAAGCTTTCATTGTGCTTTCATCTTAGATTTATGCCTCTTTGTGTATTATTTTGATGTACAAAGCACACACAGCTGTATAGTCTTTAATTCAGAAATGATTGGTATTTACTGATGATCTCTAGTGAGTAAAGTAAGGTAGATGAGGATTCACTGAAATCTCATGACCAGTTTTACTCAAGGTAAAATTGTGCTGGTAATTTGAAGTGGATTCATTAGTGCTCATAGTTTATAGCTATTTGGCAACGTTGGTTTGTTAATAACATGGACATTGGTGGTACTTTTGTAATTGCATTATCTTCCGCCAGTATAGTCTAATGTTATGCCTCATTAATCCTCCAGTGACCCCGGATACTACACCACAGGGTCTAATTTTGCTTTCCGTTCGAAGTCAATGCCTGTGAAATATGTTTGGTTCTCTCGTCTGGTCTATACGTACTATTTGTCTCTAATGGATGTTTTTGAATTGAAACTTTTTTTTTTGTAAAATAAATGGAAAAAAGGCCCTTCACTCTTGTACCACGCCCCAAAGCCCGCTCACTCCAATTTGTATTAGGACGTCTTAATGCGCGACGACAGGAGAAAAACACGCTTCTACTTGATGTATAGCGCTCAACGAGTCTTTACTGGGGCTGGAGTCATCGTGTTTTGGCCTTGTATTTACGCTTTGACAAAAATCAACGTTATAATTCTTGCAAAAGTATATTTTTTTATTACTGCCTATGCTGATAGCCTTGAGAGGCCATTTCAGCTTCTCCTTGACGTGTAGGTGAGCTCACGGGGCACGAACCGGTAGTGTTACTAACACTGACCCTAGCAAGAGTAGTGCTACGCAGAATCTACCACCGGATCGGAAACGCGACCTACTGAGAAGATCCGGCGAGAAACTCAATGGGCTGTGTCTATGGGTTAATTCACTCGTCGAGCCCTTCGTCGTAAGCGACGAGTTCGACCACTACGGTGACTGGTATAGGTACAACAGCATAATGATGGCTATCGTGCTATAGAGTTAATATTAATTGGGCTTTTTCAGGCGGCTACTGCCGATATATGATATGATATATTATAGTAATAATCATCCGAAGCACATTTAAGTTATAGGCTCCGATTATTATGCTAATAGAGCCGCGTAGCAGCCTCCACGCATCTGCTCAGTTCTGGGATCTAATACGGAGATTCATCACTATCTCAAAAAAAGGTAGTATAGCCGTGAATAATATAATAATATCACTGGTTTCAAGGTAGCGAAATCCATGTTTTGATATCAATAGGCGTTGAAAACTACTGAAAGCTTTGGAATGACTTAGAAATACGTATCTCAATATGTTTATCGGTTTCATAATTTTTAAATAATAATTATATTGTGATTATACCAACAATATATTATTCCAAAAGATACATTTAAATATAAAACTACTTCCAGTAATATTCAAATTCATGTAATAACAAAAAACTGATATAATTATATCTCTAAAGAATTCTGGGCCATTATTTTCGACTGTAAAAGTAACACAATATTCAACATGGCAGAGACAAAAGAAATTCCACGGACAGTTTTCAAAGACGAAACCAATTACCAATCAAAACGTTTGGACGATGGAACTGAAAGGAAACAAAGGGAGGTTTCAATTATAGCCGAATTCCCGAGCAATCATCAAAGTTCAGAATGGTGTAATGACAAAAAAATAGGTGCGCTGTTATCTATTTACTGCGTTATTTCTAAGGCCCGACATAATTTGTGACGCCCAACTGTCGCAGTCTTTTGATTGGCTCTTTAGCATTGGTGAGTCAAACGAAGATTTAGTCGTTTAGCTAAGCCAGGCCCAAAGTCGTTGTCACCACATCGTCAGTCCATTGCTCATATCATATTTTTTTATAGTTAAAACCCCAACTGAGGTTGGTGTTGAGTTTCTAGAAATTTCCATTTAGAATAAGTGGCAGACCTATCAGCACCTAGAAATTTGTAAATACTTTTTGTTTTTTGAGGACGTGGATTTCTAAATTTAAAATTACAATGATTTTATGATATCCTCTACCTTTTCAGACGTAATCCAAGTGTGGTCAGCACCAGGGGGAACGACGCGACTGCCTTGCGATCTGGCGGCTCCTGTACGAGACGTCGCCATGATGCTGTGGTTTAAAGACGGCGATAGAATGCCCATATATACGTAAGTACACGTATTTATTAACAATTATTTTTCAAATCATGTTTTTTGCTTGAAACTTTAATTATTACATCGTCTCAAATTTTTCGTCTGTGTGTTGCATGTCGCGTGACGGTCGGTCGCGGAGTAGGTATAAAGTAAAAGGCGGTCGTTAGAGCAGCCAAGGCCAATATGGCGGCGCCTATAATTCGCAGCAGCTGACCGTGTAGTTGCCAGTGCTCCACGCTATTTTTTTTATTTTTTTTTGCCAGTGTTTGATGTAAATGTTGTTTGTCAGAGTTAAATGTCTATAATATGAAAAAAAGTTCATAAAACCACACAATCCTTTTTGGAAATAGCTTCAGTCTTGACTTTCGGACATGCTTGGATAGGCACGCAAGATTCAGCTTACGTGACAAGTGCGATAATATCCATTAAATCAATTAACTAAAATTAAGTAAATGTCGTTTTCTTGATCAAAACTAGAACACGCACACGTAAAATCCACACAACCGAACAACTTAACAGATAGGACAATTACACTTAATTAATTAATTCCGATCCCCCAAACAAAGTGAGTGACAGAACAAGCCGCTTCGCAATTCATCGGATATCTGTTAATATCGCTATTGTCTAGCGCGTGAATGGAATAATCGGTCGTTGACAATAGTTGACTGATACAGTTGTCGATATGTGAAATTGTGATATTCGATTTGTACCTACAAAGCTTTGTATCTATGACTGTATTCCATATTGCTTCAAAGCATTATATGAAATCAAGCTGGAAATGAGTTTTTACTCATTACAAGCTACTTTTACTGGTGTTAGGACCTCTTGTGAGTCCGCGCGGGTGGGTACCACCACCCCGCCTATTTCTACCGTGAAACAGTAATGTGTTTCGGTTTGGAGGGTGGGGCAGCCATTGTAACTATACTGAGATCTTAGAATTTATATCTCAAGGTGGGTGGCGCATTAACGTTGTAGATGTCTATGGGCTCCAGTAACCACTTAACACCAGGTGGGCTGTGAGCTCCTCCACCCATCTAAGCAAAAAAAAAAAAAGGATGTAAACCTTAAATATAAATATTTTATTTTACTAACAATCATGCCACGTTAACTGGTCCCGTGATAAGTTCGTAAAAAACTTGTGTTACAGGTACCAGATAACGGAAATAAATGTAAGATTTTTATTATACACATACATATATTTAATATACATCCATAACCCTGGAAAATACATTTATATTTATCATACAAATATCTTCCCTTGGCGGGATTCAAACCCGCGACCCCCTAGTGTAGTGACCATATCACTTACCACTACACCAGACGGACGTTAAAATACGAGAATCACTAATAATAAAATCACTAATAATAAAAAATAGCATGATGTTAAAGGAATTCACGATCGAAGCAGTGACTGAATAGGTAAAGGATATAATACATAATAAACTATTTGAATCAGGGTATAAATTTGAATACATGGATACGGCACTCTCCCCAGACAGTCTAATCCAAACGTGACACTTGCCATCAACGTTTCTAACGATTTTCGGAGCAAGCTACACACAAACATATTCCTATTGATATTGAAAGTCTCTCTAGTGATATAGACTTGTAAAATAATTTATGTGAAATTCGCAGGGTGATTTATTTAAATTAATTTTTCAATACAAACTTTTTTTTTTTCACTCAGAATACATAGCGTTGACTTGAATAAGAAATATGCATGATTTAAACTCAAATTTAACGTTCTCCTGAAGACTTTTAATTGCTAAACACAACAGTATTAATGTAAATATCTATGTGGATACCATTGAAATTTTCAGTCTTATGCAATTCTTTCATGGAGGAAATGCCCATAATCTCCACGCTGGGCAGGCGTGTTGGAGATCGCAGAGACACAGCTCTTTTTTGTACCACTAACACTGCTGCCTGTCAGTGATCAGGTTTTTTAGTTGTGCCAAGTTTAGACTGCGCTATACCGCTATCAGTCATCGACATAGCTCAAAGAGTCAGCAAGCTGAAGTGGCAGTGGGCTGGCCATATATGCCGTAGGACTGACGATCGCTGGAGCAGACGGGTCCTCGAGTGGAGACCGCGTAGCGGAAGACGTAACGTGGGACGCCCCTTGGCTAGGTGGTGCGATGACCTCCGCACGGTGGCCGGCAAGAAGTGAATGAGGAGAGCCGCAGACCGTGCTCAGTGGTGTGGATTGGGAGTGGCCTATGTCCAGCAGTGGACGTCTGTGGGCTGTTGATGATGATGATGATGATGATGATGCAATTCTAGACGGTTGTTTTATTAGCAGGTTTTTTTCGTAGATTCACAATTTCAGATGTTTCGAATAGGTACCTAATTGCAATATCTTGTTCTGTAGATTGTGATAAAGGTAGTTTTAATAAGGCTTGTATTTATTCACTCCGGCTGGAGCAGCCAGGCGGAGTGGAGCTCTTTCTTGTTATTGTTCTTCAATTGAAATTCAATAAAAGGAATTATTTGGAAAAGTAAGTCTTAATTACTGTCATTATAAAAGGCAATGATAATAATGAAGAGAATTAACGTTGCTGACGTCATCATTTTCAAAAACAATATGGCACCAGTATTGCTCTCAGTTTAATTAAAAAATAAGCAAATAATTTTTGCCCTTACGCCCCTCTGAACTGATCCGTTGACAAGAAATGTTTATAAACCGCAAAAGATTCCTCATAGTTGAGGAGAGACCTAATCATGTGAATGCTTTTATTCCATTGCGCAAATGAAGCGTGCTGCTAAAGGAAAATATGGGGAAACTACAAGATAAGACACGGGATTGTCATTTGTTTTGGCTTCATTAACAACTGTTTGTTTGCTGAAACTTTTAAGCAATGTTTTTTCTTCTTATTCATTATTGTTTATTGTACACACAGTTAATAAAATATAATAATTGCGAAAACTTATAAAATGGTGAGCTTAACTCAACAATTGTGTTACTAGCTAACCGTTCTTAAAGAGGGTGAGCTTTACATAGGTGGATAGAAAAGTACAATCTAATCAATTTACTTATTGATACAGTACATAATAATAGTAACAATAATAAATAAAAACACTAACACATAATATATCAGACTAAATACATACACAATTACACACATAAATAACATCTTCTGTTTTTGACAGTTAATAAAACCAATTCAATTTGGTACTTTAGTCTTGCTCTCATTTAAATTTATAGTATTGTCCTGAATGGCTTTTTTTTAACAAATCGCAGGAAGCATATGATTATTATTTGCTCAAAGACAAACAAACAAGTCTCAGTAAAACAAAATAACAATACCATACGTGATTTCTTTAAGCAAATAATAGTTTTTTGGCTAGTCGTCGTGGCGTAACGGATAAGACGTCCGGTGCATTCGTGTTGAGCGATGCACCGGTGTTCGAATCTCAGGCGGGTACCAATTTTTCTAATGAAATACATACTCAATAAATGTTCACGATTGACTTCCACGGTGAAGGAATAACATCGTGTAATAAAAATTAAAAACCCGCAAAATTATAATTTGCGTAATTACTGGTGGTAGGACCTCTTGTGAGTCCGCACGGGTGAGTACCACCACCCTGCCTTTTTTTGCCGTGAAGCAGTAATGCGTTTCGATTTGAAGGGTGGGGAAACCGTTGTAACTGTACTTGCGACCTTAGAACTTGTATCTCAAAATGGGTGGCGCATTTACGTAGTGGATGTCTATGGGCTCCAGTAACCACACCAGGTGGGCTGTGAGCTCGTCCAACCATTGACCAACCAACCAACCATTGACAGAAACTATAATTTCATTTTAAATGGCCATAAGTAATAAGTTTTTAATTAGCTTTTAATAAAAAGTCATTAAGTAAATGCTTATTTGTAAAAGCAATTTCAAATCCAAATTATTCAAAGATCACGGAGCTTTCAAACACCGGAATCTTTGAAAAACACTACTGTCATTTGAGAATCAGATACTGGCAGTCGATATTAATCGTTTAAGGAAAAGGTTTCATAGCAGAGTTGGAGTTTTACTTTTAAAATGACATTTTCATAGCACTATTATATACACTATAGGAAATTCTACTGGTGGTAGGACCTTTTGTGAGTCCGCGCGGGTAGGTACCATCACCCTGCCTATTTCTGCCGTGAAGCAGTAATGCGTTTCGGTTTGAAGGGTGGGGCAGCCGTTGTAACTATACTGAGATCTTAGAACTTATATCTCAAGATGGGTGGCGCATTTACGTTGTAGATGTCTATGGGCTCTAGTAACCACTTAACACCAGGTGGGCTGTGAGCTCGTCCAACCACCTAAGCAATAAAAAAAAATATTGCAGAAAATTAATTTCAATTCTCGATCATAAAAATGCTACTAACTTTTTTTTTTCATTCATTTACCAAGTCCTAGCTACGACTAATTGATAAAGGCTTTCAAAGGCACGACAACATTATTATGTTAGTATGAAATCCGTCTTTTGTTTGCAAAACACCATATACATAAGCTAAGATTTTAATTTCCTAGAAGTTATTAGTTCTTGCAGTTTTACATAGATAGAGATTTGCCTTAGTCAAACAAAGCAGGTAGTGCATGTTGTATTTGTGCCAGTTACAATTATATTGTTTATTTCTATTATGAAGTATACGAAGTATGCCATTCAAATTAGAGAATATAAAATTCCAATGCGATAGATACTTCAATTTAATATCTATATGAGTAGAAATAATCAAATTTGCGTCACAAAACAAAACTTGTTTTTTATTGCTTAGATGGGTGGACGAGTTTACAGCCCACCTGGTGTTAAGTGGTTACTGGAGCCCATAGACATCTACGACGTAAATGCGCCACCCACGTTGAGATATCAGTTTTAAGGTCTCAGTATAGTTACAACGGTTGTCCCGCCCTTCATACCGTAACGCATTACTGCTTCACGACAGAAATACGCGCGGTGGTGGTACCTACCCGCGCGGACTCACAAGAGGTTCTACCACCAGCAATTACGCAAATTATAATTTTGCGGGTTTGATT